GGGAAGTTGCGTTCTGAGAAATTTGAGTTCATGAAACGTACTTTGGAATCTCAAAGGAATCTCTTCACGAGAATATTTGCTGAAAATGAATCTGTCACTCGTACAAATTACAAAATAGTGCATAAGATGGTAGAGCGAGGAAAACCGTTTACTGACGGCAACTTCATCAAAGAGTGTATGATGGAAGCAGCAAATGTCTTGTGTCCTGAGAAAGCCGATTTGTTTGGAAGTATCAGCCTTTCAGCAAGTTCAGTTGTGCGGAGAACAGAAGAACTTGGAGAGAACATGGTGTTACAGATACGCGAGAAAGCTAGGAACTTCTTGTGATATTCTCTGGCGCTGGATGAATCTACTGATCTCTCGTGTACGTCACAACTTCTCGTGTTCATTCGTGGTGTTAATTTGGACTTTCAGATCACAGAAAAGTTGGCATCCGTTTGCAGCATGCACGGAACAGCAACTGGAGAAGAAATTTTCATGGAAGTGCAGAAAACTTTGCAAAGCTATAACCTTCAGTGGAATCAGCTTCAATGTGTTACAGTTGATGGAGCAAAAAAACATGGCTGGAGTGAGGAAGGGTCTGGTGGGGCAGATACGAACTAAGTTGGAAGATCTTCAACTCCCGGGCGCTCTGTTTATACACTGCATTATACATCAGCAAGCACTCTGTGGGAAAGACTTAAATATTTCTTGCGTACTGAAACCAGTCGTTTCTGCGGTGAACTTCATTCAGGGTCATGCACTTAATCACCACCAGTTCCAGGTTTCTCTTGAAGAAATTGATTCTGAATTCTGTGACTTGCCTTATCACACAGCAGTGAGATGGCTCAGCTGCAGTAAAGTCCTGTTTCGTTTTTATAAGCTCCAAAGAGAAATAGGTATTTTTCTCACCGAAAAGGAAAGAGCTGATCCACTTCTGTCAGATCCTACCTGGCTGTCAAAGTTGTCATTTTTGGTTGACATCACATCCCACATGAATGAATTGAACTTGAAACTTCAGAGAAAGGATAACCTTATTTCTACAGAATCATCATAGGATTTCGGAGAAAGCTATCATTGTTTGAAGCACAACTGGAAGGAGGAAACTTCTATCATTTTCAGT